TGTGCTCCTGTTATAGTCATGAGCAGCTACCTTCCTCAATATATTACACTTGTGTATAAAGGAAAAGGGGTGGAATGTGGACTACCTTGTGGAGTGTATGGCATGCCCTTCAAGTTAACTTAGAAAGGTGATTAATTCCAGTGGTTGTCTGTGCAGTTTCAAAAGTTCAAATTAAATGTGCTTCAAAACGCTTAGCAAAGGGAATATATTTTACACACCTGTCACTTGTGAGAAGAGTGCATTTGAGTTGAAATTATGAAGGATGTAAAGCTGATCACTAGGACGCTGGTACACCCCATCCTGCCTTGTCATATGAGCGAATCTTCTAACATCCACTGAGTGGCCTTGTCTTAAGCACTCATAACTAATTCTCCACGGGTTGTGTTAGTTCACAGAATGGATGTAATTCAGTGTTGGAAAGGACCTTTAGAGTTCACTGAGGCGTGAAGGGGCATGGCTGAGTCCTGGATGAGCAAAGGGAGAAACAATGCCCCAGTTTTTGACTACCAGTCTAGTTCAGGGTCCACTACAGCAGGGGCCAGCAAACTGCAACCCACAGGCCAAGTTTTAATGGAAAACAACCACACCTACTCATTTATATAATCTCCTTGTATGCCTTCCATCTATAACCACAGGCTGGAGTAGATGCCCCATAAACTGTAGCCCACAAACTCCACGGTGTTCACTTATCCAACCCTGGAAATGCCAGTCCTGTGGTTTGTAGCACTGGCTGCCAATTCTGACTGTGCTTTTGAATTGTGTTTTAAAACTACAGGCTCCTGGGTCACATTCACACCCTTCTCATCCCAGATCTTTCAGGATGGGACCCAAGAGTTGCATGTGTGATAAAGACAATTGTGACACTGTTAGGTGAAGAATCCCTGCATTACCTCTTGCTGCCTTTTGGAAGCAAGGCTGTGTGTGCTGTAAGTACCTTTTTATATAGGTCGTGAGACTGGAAAAAGCTCTGTAGAGTAGTGCCTTATAAACTTTTGCTACTATCAGAATCTCCCACAGGGCTTGTTAGAAGTCAGGTCACTGGGTCCCACCATCAGAGGTTCTGACAGCAGGTCTGGGGGAGGTGGAACAGGTACTTCAATCAAGTTCTCAGTGGTCCTGATGCTGCAGCCCCATGAAACACTCGGCATAGCACTGACCTGGACCGAAGGGGCTCACATCTCTAAGATGTGAGTCAGCTCCTGTGGATCACAGGCTGTGGTTGAGCATGGATTTATGAACCAGCTGCTGGGACTGTCCCAGACCACACCATAAAGGACACTACTACTGAAGGGCCGACTGCAGGAGGTCCATGTGTTACCCTGCAGACAGCCTCTGCTCTCCCCTCCTCTATCCCATTGGCAAGACTAGGTATTAAGCAATCCTTTCTGAGCTTCTACTTCTTGGTCAACGTTCTTTTATTGTGCTTTAAAACTCCCTGCGGATTATTTTCTGTCTTGTAAAATAACTGTATTTTGTATGGAGAAGGGCAGATGGTGGCTATGAGACAGTTTCAGATGTTGAAGAAAATGCATTGCATGTCACAAAATAGAAGGGAAAACAAGAAGAAGCTGAATAAATACTTTAGGAAAATCGTAAATGTGAAAACATAAAATGTAGAAGGCAACAGAACTAGGCAGAGACTTGTTTTGGTGCCACACAAATGATTTTATTTTGAACCAGGAAGCAATAGCAATGAAGAGAAGAGTCTGGACTAAGGGCTTGGCAGTGTGACTCAAGTACCAGCAACTGAATTTGTCCTGGTACAAAGAAGCATAAAGGAAAATGACTTCTCATCTCCAACTAAGCTCATCCAGGCCACAATGCTTATCAGTGACCCTCATTTCCACAGGCACAGGGTTGGACTGCTTTACAGATTTAAGATTTTTGTAAGTATTTTAAAAATAGTTTTGAAAGTGAAGGAACCATTGTAGTAAGCAAGTTTCTACACTGGCTTCCCCCACCCCCACTTAAAAAGCCATCAACCAAGTGTCTGAACTAGGACACAAGTGACATTATGGGCCAGGTAACTCTTTGTGGTGAGGGGCTGCGCTGTGCACTGCAGGATGTTTAATGCCATCCCTGACCTCTACCCATTAGATGCCAGTAGCAACATGTCCCCAAGTTGTGACAACCCAAACTGACTCCAGACATGGCCAAATGTCTCCTGGTGTGGGGTGGGGGTTAAAATCAAGCCCTGGATGAGAAGCACTATTTTCAAAAAATGCCCCCAGCTGCCATCATTGTCTTTGTATGCCTTTTAGTGTCAACTTCGCAACTATGTGAGCACGCAGGCACGTGTCTCTGCAGGCATTTGCAAATGTGCCTGGAGCTGAGGTGGAATTCCACACTGAATGGTGGGCAGCAGTTCAGTTCCTCAGGAAGTCAAGGTCAATATATCAGTACCACAATAAAAACCTGTCTGTATCCAGGCCATTTCCTCTTCTCCAGCAGAAACCACCAACAGTACTTGCAGTCAAGTTTGAAGTCACTTTTTAAAGCTGGAAAGAAAATCTTCACCTAGGCTCACTCTCAGCTTAATACGCCATTTAGATTCCTACTTGAATGATTTGGCCAGGAACTTTCAACTTTGGATCCAGATTTCTTTCTTTCTATCCACTAGGAAGAGAGGTGCCATGTTTCAGGGTTCTGTTCTGAGGACTGGCTACATGATTTGCAGGGCCTAGTGCAAAGTGAAAATGCAGGCCCCTTGTTCAAACATCATTAAGAATTTCATGACGGTAACAGCAGAGCATGAAACCAAGCTTGAGGTCCTTCTGAGCCCAGAGTTCTGGGTAACTCAGCCATTCCTACGCCCATGATGACAGCCCACGCAGCCTTGGTGAGCGTCCCATCAGTTTTGTTGTATCAATTTATTTGGTACTGCCGCCTCTTTCGCCCCATGTGGAAATGCTTCCTGTGAAGTGAAGACTTCAAAAAAAATAAAATACTGTGACCCCAATCCATTTAAAGACAATGCACAATTATACTGCAGCAAAGGTTTACAGCAGGTATTTTTAGACTTTCAAAAAAACCCACATGGAAATCTCTTCTACATCATTACAGTAATTAAGGTAAACACTGTGGCCTTTCACCATATACATATTTTCCTGTAAATACGACAACCTGGAAACAGTAACTGCTACATCCACAATGTTTTTAAGTTAGCAAAGAGTGAGACTTCCACAACAAAATTATAACATAATCTGTCTTGTCCTTAGAAAAATAGCCAAAACAAACCTTAACCAGCTTTCGGTGAAAATCTGGGTAGTAACACCTTTATACTGAAAAACATTACACTCATGGAAATAGTGTCCTTCTAATAAATGCTTCTGTTAACATCGTAAGGCAAACTGTAGCATTTATTGGTACCTGGAGACCATGATTTTAAGAACTCAGAAACCGAGTTTTAGACCCTTTTATTTAGAACCTGTAAGTGTACAAAGTGCATTAAAATATCCATTATCCAGTTACCTAAAATGTATGTAAATATTACTGAGACAACCCTTTTAGTTTATTCAGGGAAGGCAAATACATATTGTTTTTATATTGTTAAAAAAACATTAAGTTTCCAGAGAATGATTAACGTTTTTCCATTGAGGTGTCTATTTTTAGATGTGAAATTGTCTTAAGTAGGTATCAAAATATGCATCTGGGTATAAATAATATAGTAAATATATAGAATCTATCCGTTAAGAAAAAGGACAGGAAAAGAGAAAAACATAGAAAGCTGGCTTGGTGTTCCTTGAAGTTAAGATTGGCAATCACATCACCACTGGCCCTGTGATGCATAAACAATGGGTTTACTGACTTATTTCAGGGAAGCAATAGGTTGATTTAGTTAAAAACAATAATCACTAAAAACAATGCCTAAATCTACTAGCCTGTTCGGTCAATGGCTGACCTAGTAGCCCAGATAAACATTTCAGCAATTGAAACCATTTATACAGGTCACATCCTTTGTCAAGGTGAATCCACACCAACGTCCCAGTCCAAAGACCAGCCAAGAAAGCCTTAATTTGGGGACCATTAAAATGTGTCAGATCAGCATGCAAAGAATCCCATCTGACATTTCATTAGCAGGTTCTATTAGCAGGTTCCTGCATGGGAATAGTGAGTTTGAATTTTTTTCTTTTTTGGTCTTACAACTCTATGGTAAGCTATACTATAATATAGAGGGACTTCTACATCTTTCAAAATGTGTTTAATAAATGTCTGTTTATAACAACTTTGAGGCATGCATACTAGTGAATAGTACTTTATGCAATGTCCCTTGTCATTCCTAACTCATAAATAGTAAGTGATTTTTGGTAGCTTATATTTGGATGTGGTTGGAGTGATGGGGGGGTATGTGTTAATGTCCCAGAGAGCAAAACAATCCAAGGTGGGGCTGCCATTTGGACTGCACATGTTTATTTCCTCAGGCCCAGAGACAAAAGAAAAATGATTTGGGTGAGGGGGGAAAAGGGACAACTATTAAATGTAATGAAGAAATTTCACAGATCTAATAAAAAACTATTAAAAGGATGGGTGAAATAGACTATAGCATAAAACAGCATACTACTTCTGATAAAAGACAAATCAGCCCGAATTCTTTAATAACCTGCAGGATTCGGAGTGACTATTTTCAATTGCAATCTCATTCATAATGTTAGCCCAAAATTCTTAGCCCTAGAGAACATAGGGCCAAAGGTTTCCAAACCTTTCTCCCAAGCTTTTCCCATCAGCTATAGGAAGGAAATTAAAAATTGAGCAGTGGCTAAGTCTGAGGTCCAAATTCAGTTCTTTGCATTCTCTCTCTCTCTCTCTCTCTCAACGCTCCATGCTCACGGATCCAATACAAGTTTTTGACATCACAGCTAAAACACTTCAAATTAATCCAGAGTGAGAAACCCTGTTTACTTTCCTACTAGGTTCGAAATGACTTTTTGTTTTAAAAATAGTTGCATATTCTGTTATGCACTGTTGAAGTGACAAGATCTCACAAGGGCTCAGTATGAAATAGAAGGTGAATAAACCCACAAATCTAAAAAAGGTTTTTTTTTTTTTCTTTGCAAGCCCACAAACCATGATGAAATAAAAGTTGTAAAGAGTTGGCAAACTTACGGGCCTCTTAATGTGCAAAACCAAGAAATTCCTAAGAGTTGTAATTCTGATTATGCTTCTTTTATAAATAATCTATAGGTTTCCCTCTAAATACAAAAAATCAAAGTACTTATTAAAGCCTGTACTTAATACAAAACACAGTAAAAGGAACGAAATCTCCCATTTTGAGCCCTATCTTAACTGATTTCTGGACACTTTGGGGGAGATTTAATCACACTCTCTCGAAGCCTGTCTTCTCGGTCCCCAAAACAGTGGCCTGAAACTTGTTGTTCTCCAGAAAGCAGCTCCACGGGGCCTGATGCTCAAGGCAGCTGCTCTGTACAGTCCAGGTGGTCTGGGATAGGAAGACCAGTTATGATCGTCAGACACTTGTTCCACACGGTGAAGGTGGGGCACACAGGCTGCGCAAACGCCACATCAAAGGTGTACAGGTGGATGGAGTTCAAAGCATCATAAAAAGCGATGGAGCCGTTGTCATAGTCCAGGAGGATGCCGACGCGCCGGAGGTGGGGGGCTGGCTCAATGGGGACTTCCTTGCTGTTATGTCTCACCACCCAGTTATTGTTGCAACGGCAGAGGGCCCAAGAAGCAGAGTTCTTCCCAATCCATTCGTGCTTCGGAGCTGATTTGTAAGCAAGGCCAATGGCATACCTGCAGAGACAAAACAGCCATGCTAAAAGCAATGAGCCACCGCACACATGTGGGTCAAATGTGTTCTGTGGTCCACAGGACATGAAAACATGACCCTCTCTTGTCCTTGATCATTCCCTTTAAGTAAAAGTTTGGCAAGATCCCCAACACCTGTGTTCCTCATCTTCTTCCTTCCCAGACGCAGAGTGGGCGGTAAGGGACCAGGGTGCTTGCCCACAGTCCTGCTTCTAGTTCAAACACTGCAAGAGAATGTGAACTTCGTGCTTTGCTGCCATAAGCCGTATGTGAATAGTGGGCACTAGAACTGTGGCTGGTGAGACTGAGAACTTAACTTCAAATGTACAACTACCCCTGACTTAGGATGGTTGGACCTAACGCTTTTTCAATTTTACAATGGTATGAAAGCCATACACACTGAGCAAACACCATCCTTTCAATTTTGCTCTTTTCCTGGGTTTGTGATATACAGTTCAGTCCTCTCTCCCAGGCAGAGAGGAAAACAACTAGTACTGTACAGTGTACTGTATTAAAAAGTTACACAAGCTATCCAACCCTTTATTATAAAGTAGGCTTTGTGTTCCTAATGTAAGCACTCTGAGAATGTTAAGGCAGGCTAGGCTAAAGTGCGATGTATGGTAGGTTAGGTGTGGTAAATGCATTTTCCACTTAAGACATTTTCAATTTGCCGTGAGATTATCAGGACCTAACCCCATCGTAAGTGGAGTAGCACCTGTATTTAATTTCAATTAAGTTTGATTATTTAAATAGCCACATATGAATCGTGGCTGCTATACTGGACAGCATTAACTTCAGGCTTGTCCTTCTGACCTTTAAATTTTTCAGTTAATACCGTATCTGTCATTTTCCATGACTTTGGTTGCACCTTGCCAAAGGCAAGTGGGGAGGATAATTTCCATTTATGAAGATAAGTCCCCTGTTATCACTCAGTTTCGATGTCTCATCTATGGGACAGGGACTATGATAGTCTCCATCTCCCAGGCAGGGTTATTTTAAAGAGTAAGAGAAAAATGCATTTTAAAGCCTGGCCACAAGGCCTGACACACAAATATTCAGTAACTATTTTTTATTATTATTGTCTGATATACATTAAAGGAAGTACCAGAATAAGAATTTAAGTCTACCATGATCAAAAAGCAAAATTTAAATGACATTCCATAATGCCTTCCCTCACCAGAAATTGTGCAATTCATCACTGCTGAGTAATTCTGATTATATTTCCTACATTTAAATTTTTTTTAATCTCTGAGCAGATATCCAGTTATTCTAAATATTTTCACACTACTCAAAAATAAAATCTTAAGAACCCTCTTCTACAATGCTCTAACCTTCTTAATCTCTTTGTCCTACAATACTGAAAACATTTCGCAGCTATTAAGATAAGCAAAACACATCATTCTTAATAAAGACTGAATGGCTTACAGTTTACCTTTGAATATGTTGGAGCAGAAACCAGTGTAATTGGATACTGACATATGGTGCCTTCCCAAGTACAGGAGAAAAACTTCATAGGTTTTTGTTAAAATGACATGCCCTTAAAAATCACATATTGGGTATAAAATACAATCACTTTGAGTGGTGTGTTAAAAAGGAAAATTAATATAACATGCTATAATTGAATTCAAAAAGAAGGAATGGGTCATCCATTAAACCAGTGTGCCAGCCCATCTGTTGTCAACCCAGCATGCTCCCTTCCTTTTTGTCAATCCTCTCCTCCTCACAGAGAGAATTCAACGTTGCATCTCCCAGAATCCCCTTTTCTGTAAAAACCTAGGTTAGGTTCTGTTATTGCCATGCCCTTGTACAAGATTCCGAACTTGTAAAAGATGGGGAAACAGTTTTCCAGTGGCACACAGTGGACGTGAGGTTTGTGGAAATGTGAGGTTAGCCCCTGCCAACACCTGCTTTGGCTGTGGCCCCATGCACAAGAACATAGACCAGTGGGTCTTTTGCTCCCAGCCCTGTCAAAAGTCCTGTATGCTTCTGGCTCCCTTTCTCTATGGAGGTCCTTGATTGACTCCTGTTTATCTGTGGAGTCCTACCAATACACTTTGGAAAGGTTTGCATTTTGCAATTTAAAGTCTCTCCCTCCAGAGACACTCCTTCCATTTTTTGGATAATTTGGGACTTGGATTTGCATCACAAAATAACCACATCTGAATTGTTTCCTTCTTGTTGCTACAAACCATTTTTTAAATTAATTTTTTAAAAATAACTCTGTTTAGTTCCCATTTGAACCTAAGTGAACCCTAGGAAGTAGCTACAGCAGCGACGGCTGACTTCATTTAGCCAAAGGAAGTATAGAGAAAGTTAAAACTAAGAGCAAAATTCAGAAATCTCATGCTGCCCCCTTGACTTCTGGTCTAGTAATGCTTGCACAAACCCATTATTATTGCTTTAGTTAACACCATTCCATGAAATACCAAGTGCACTTTAACAGCATTCAAGAGCGAGAAAATAGCCAAGTGTGTAGTCCATTAAGCGAAGGAAAATACCATTATATTACCATCAATCTGTAAAACGATGTACATATTTTCATTGAGTTTGAAAGGTGCGGGCAGAATGTAATGTTCCATTAAGTTATGCAGTGAAACATGGAGAGTTCAAAAAATATAAAAATTACGTTTCTTAGAGCAATGTTAACATGTGCTATTGCATGGATCGTAATGTACATGTTAATTTAAAGTCAGGACCATATTTCATGAAAAAATACATATGTCGTTAGCTGTTGCAAACCAAGGTGTCACAGGCATTTAATCATAGGGGGCACCCCTTCCTTGCTAATACCTCTGAGGAAATATGGAACTACTTTCTACATGAAAGATTTTCTGAAGTTGACACAATCAGGTTTGCAAAGATCCAAAGTGTGCCAATTAATCTCATAGAATTTCTTTTCCCTCTCAGGAGTTAGTTTTGACATCTGGAGGTAATGCTGATCTGTGTTTATATAACTGAAGTGGCCTGATGGAATTTCCCGCACCATTCGTCAATGGCAATGAGCTCATAACGATCAGGTATCATTTATCATAAATAATTATTAATGGGGTTATAATCATTTAGACACTGGAGTCCATTCCAGATAAATATAGCATATTAATTAACTAGAAACGTTTGCTTTTTTTGCACATGCGTTTATTGTATTTTTCTTGGTGCTTTTATCTTGCCCCAGTGCAAGTTGCAAATGCCAGTCTAGACCAAGCCTAAAAGGGTCGAGGGCTTCACGATGTTGAAACAGGAAAACGTCCCAGGCAAAGAGGATCATGAGGGTAACAACAGATGAAAACCTACATGCTCAGTCAATATGGGTACCATTATTGGGAGAGAAGGGGCACCCAAGCTTACAATTTCACTTCTTAGATTTGGGTCAGCTTCTTTACACTGCATTACGTGCATAAATTTGAATCAAAAGGTCTTTTTAAGAAATAAGTGTTTTACCATGCTTGCATTGAAGGAAACACTGTTATAATACTCATCATCTTTAAGTTGAGTGTTGATTTTATTTTATTTAATTTTTTTGCAGTACTGGGGTTTGACCTCAGAGCCTACACTTTGAGGTACTCCACCAGCCCTTTTTTGTGAAGGATTTTTTCAAGATAGGTTCTTATGAACTGTTTGCCCCGGCTGGCTTCGAACCACAATCCTCTTGACCTCTGCCTCCGGAATAGCTAAGATTACAGGCGTGAGCCACCAGTGCCCAGTGATTTTATTTTTAAATCAAAAATTGAGGTATCACTTACTAAGTATTGTATGGTAAGCCCTAAAGAATAATTATCACATTTCAAAAACACATTGCCCTTTTGTGAATAGCAGCACAGCATGGTGGTTAAGAGTGGGGATTTCCGAACTACCCCTCAGGGGTTAGCTCTGGCCCTCTCTCTGCTCTTAGAAATGAAGCTCCATGGGTACTCAGCCATGCCCGTTTTTGTACGTGCTGTCTGTGGCTTCTTTCCCGCTACAACAGCCGAGTTGAGTAGTTGGGACAAAAAATTGGCCTGCAAAACCAGGACATTAATTTTCTGGCCCTTTTCCAGTTGCTGTTTGTAGACTCTGGGTGAAGAGCTTGACTCCTGATTGCAGACTTCTGACTCTCCCACCTGTGAGTTTTGTGACCTTGGGCACATGCCTCAGTCACCTCACCTGTAAAATCGGAAAATATCAGCACCTACCTGTGTAGGGCTGCTACAATGGATAAATGGGTTACTATCTGCAAAGTGCTTTGCCCAGTAACTTTCCTGGCCCATAACTGTGCCATATGAGGGCTTGTTAAATAAAAATAAAATCAATAGTAGGCAAGCATTTGTGAGACAAATGGCCAAAGCAAGGGGCAAAGTTTGTGCCCGTGGATTAGTGATGGTCAACTTTGCAGGGTTAACTAACTCCAGTGTACAGTGACCTTGACCTTAGTCTTAGAGAACTTGGTGGGTTAAAGTCATGGGCTGAAGGTGATGGACCTGTGGAAATTATTCTCGGCCTATGACTGTTGCTTCACTCCACCTACACAGCTCTCCGTACTAATGGGCCCAGACTTGAATCTTGAATTACAAACATACAAGGCAACAGGAATAAGGTTTTCTTGTGTGTGTGTGTGTGTGTGTGTGTGTGTGGTACTGGGGTTTGAACTCAGGGCCTTGTACTTGCTAGGCAAGTGCACTACCACTTGAGCCATGTCCCCAACCCTTTTTGCTTTAGTTTTTATTTTTCAGGTAGGGTCTTGCATTTTTGCCCGAGGCTGGCCTCAGACTGCGATCCTCCTACCTCCACCTCCCTGTAGTTCCTCCTACTTCCACCTCCCTGTAGTTGGAATTACAGGCACAAACCACACACCAACCTGTTTTTTGAGGTAAGGTCTTGCTAACTTACTTTTGCCTGGACTGGCCTTGAACCACAACCCTCCCATCTCAGCCTCCCAAGTAGCTTGGATTACAGATGTGTACCACCATGCCCGGCTTAGAAATAAGTTTTTTAAAAAAATGATGAAAAGTGATGTTTCATAGTAAGAATCGGCAGGGTTTTTCTCTAAAGGGCCAGAAAGTAAATATTTTTTGGCTCTGTGGATCACCCAGTTCTGTTTTAACTGCTTAAGCTGCAGTTGTTGGTCCAAAGGCAGCCATAAAGGCTGGTGAAAAAAAAGAGAAAAACAAAACAACCCAAACCAAAGGCAGCCATAAGCAACAGGTAAAGGAATAGGCACGGCTATGTCCCCATAACACTTGGTTTATAAAAGCAGGCCTTGGGCTGTAGCTTGTGCACCTTATTTAAAGCATGAAAGAGCAGTATTTGCATACAATAACTCTTTTAGGTGGTACCAAAACTCTACCTTATCTCCAATTCTTGCTGTAAGTAAAAAAATGGATGAACTTTCAACAAGTTATTTTTCTTATTGGCTGAATGGTGGATTAGATGATTGCTCGGCAAACACTCACTCTCTCTTCCCACCTCCATGGGAGAAAAAGACTTCCCTGTACCACTGGTTTTGGACTGGCCATATTGCTTTGGCTAGTAAGAATTCAGTAGATCTGACGCAAGCAGTGGCTTTGAAATGTACTTGCCCTGTTGGATTCCTTGAGAAGAACAATGCCTGGGTGGCCACATAAATGAGGAGGAACGAAGAGGCACAGAACAAACCTAAACCCTACCTACATCTTAAAGTAAAGCCCAGTTGAGATTATTCCTGATTAGTTAACCTACAGATAGGAGTATTAGTTAGCAATAATAAATGGTTGTTGTTTGAAGCCATTGAGTTTTGGGGTGTTAGTTATATAGCATTATTTTAGCAATAGCTGATTAATACAGGCTTTTTGCATTTGATTTTGGTACAGATTGATACTCTGACACAGTACACAATGAGATGTGCCTTTTTATAACAGGAGGACAATAGATATAAGTTGCCTACCATGTGCTTCCACTTATGACCACTTCCCAGTAATGACGGCCACTATCAATGAACACATTTCCAGCCACTCCATAGCTCCCCTGGCTGGTGAAGCGCTCAGGCGTGTGACTCTTTTTGGATGATGACTCATCACGTTCTACTGTCAGGTTATCGTGGGACACCTTCAGTTTTCGATGAGCAGATTTAGGATCCAGTTTAAATGGTTGGCCTGGAAACAAGTTCACAAAACAAAAAGAGAAAGTGGAGAAGTGCTGTTCATTTGAACATGACCAAGGGCATATTAGATTTAGAAGACTGGAGAGAACAATCCTTCCTATCATGAAGCAGTATCATATATATATACATATATATATATATGTAGTAATTTAAGCTTTATAAACAACTTTTAAAGATATTTGCTTACAGTTCTCATGACATTCAAAATATAGTTAGGGAGCAACAACTCTCGGAATCATGGGACATGTCAGTGTCTTCATGACCTTCCAGTCTGTTGGTTCTAAGTCAGGGGTCTACTGGTGCCATACTATTTAACAACAGCATGAGCAAGGATCAGCCAGAACACATGACATGAGCTATCTTTGAGGATTTCGGCACAGGTATATATTGGCCAGACAGCATCCTGAAAAGGAGGAGAAAATGAAGACTATTTCCTACCAAAACTATGTTCATGCAGGCCTAACAGATATGCATCTCAATAGACTTCAGACCAGAAACTAAACTTATCAGGATTTCAGGTCTTAGCATGAGATTGTTAAAAATTAAAGCAATTACTCTCAGGGGCTTAGAACAACTACAAAACTGTAAAATTTTCAGCTCACAAAATCAGAAAAAAAAAAAGATGATAGTAACATCTAGGTTTTCTACTCTTGACCTTCTTCATGTATATAAAATAAATAAGGCCTTCTATTTCATTATTCACATTTGTATTTTGAAGAGTTAACTGTGAAAATCTTGACAGAGTCATACCTGAATATTTTGTTGTAGCTGTTACTTCTTTGACAATTCAATCTTGGCTTTCATTACGGCCTGTCATTCATTCAACACCACACAGGGTGCAAGGCATTTAAAGGCAGGAAACGAGTTACAACTTGGTGGCAATACCAGTGTCCAAGCTCCACAGCCACTGTTGCATTTGTAGATCTGTTCTGCCCAGTATGCAGCTCCCAAATGATCACAGCAAAAAGTTTAGTACATCTGACTGTGACAATACAAGGCTGGGGACTGAGAAATGAACCCAGCAGACGCTGGGCAGTGAATATTTTGTCATGTGGGTAAGCTAAAGGATTTTTCAGCTGCTGCTTGGATATAAACCTTACATCAACACCTCGAAAATTCTTTTAGATCAGTGACCAGCACACTTTTTCTACAAGGGCCAGACAGTAAACATTTTCAGCTATGCATAACATATAATTTCTTTTGTGACTATTCAACTTTGTCATTGTAGTGAGGAACCAGCCACAGACAGCAGACAAATGAAGGGGTATGGCTGTGTGCCAATAAAACTTTATTTATAAAAAAAAAAAAAGGCAGCCAGATTTGGTACCTGAGCTCTAGTTTGCTTATCCTTGTTTTAGATTTCTTTCCATATCAAAGAAAAGCTTCAAAGGAAGGAGCTAAGAAAACCCTCAAGTGCTAAGCAGGGAGTGAGTATTCTCAGAGATTATAAAACCTACTGGATTACATGTGTAGTTTTAATTTTGGCTTATCTCATAAAATAAAAAATGTCCTCTGGGGTGATCATGCCAACAACTGTGAAGGATAAGCTATGGACTAAGACAAGAGAAGTAGAAAGGATAGCTTTTCTTAAAATATTTTCAATTTGTAAAGATGAAAGACAAATGTGAGTAAAAATAATTGGACAGCAGTGGGCAGAGGAGGAAGAAATTTCAACATGGCACTGATCATTTAGGAACACCCAGTGCTGCTTGACCTCCTGACAGCGAGGAATAGCAGAAATGTTGTAGCCATGATGAAGATCACACTTGTAATGGTGAGACTCTCACTCTGAGCCCACTCCCACACACAGCAGGGTCCTGCTAGCTTCAGTGGGGCACAAGTCCCATGTTCTCGCTGAATGAATTCTGCCTGTGCTTCATATGTGTTTCCCAAACCACCACCCACACTTCCCAAATTCTAGACTTTTGCTTTAATGGAGACAGATTAGTTCAAGGAGGAAATTAATGGGTACTTTACCAAAGAATTTAATTCATCAGAACATTTGCATAGTCCATGACCTTATTCTGGCCACTATTATCTTGCTGGGGCAACTCTTGGAATAATCTCCTGACCCTTTGCTCAGCTATCAGTCTCCTTTCATTGTAATCCACTGACCACATAATAGTGCAAAAAGTTTTATTTGATACAAATTCTCATTCTGCCTCTCTTATTTAGACTCTTCAAGCTTGTTCCTATCAACCACTGCTCTCCAAAGAGACTCACTAGCATGGCCTATGGTGGTTCACATTCTCTTTCTTAATTTTTTTTTTTTGGCAGTACTAAGGTTTGAACTCAGGGCCTCATGCTTGCTAAGCAGGCACTCTACCACTTGAGCCACTCTGCCAGTCCTTTTTTTATATTGGGTATTTTCAAGATAGGGTCTCTGGAGCTACTTGCCTGGGCTAGCCTCAAACCACAGTTTTCCTGACATGTCTCTGGAGTAGCTAGGATTACAGGCGGCGCCTGGCTTTTTGTTTTTTTCTTTCTTTCTTTCTTTTTTTGAGACAAGGTCTCCCTATGTAGTCCAGACTGACCAGGAACTCATGATTCTCCTGCCTCTGCCTCCTAAATGTTGGGATAACAGATGTGTGCCAACACGTTCAGCCTCCCCATATGGTTTTGTCTCCAGCTTCCTGGCTGGTCATCCTCCCTACCTAAGCCACACTTTGTCCACAGAGATCAAATTTCTGTTCCACAAATATAATCTCCTTGTCTTTGGACTTTGTACATGCCGTTCCCTCTGCACAGAACACTAACTCCTCCTCATACCCCTTAATCAACCTCACCTCGAAAAACCCCAAGACTGCGCAGAGGCACCACCCTTTGTAAATCCAGCATCCTCTCAGTTACTATTATTGTAGATTTCACAAACTGAATGGTAACTAGAGTAAACATGCTTTGGTTCCCAACAGTTTACAAAGTCCTCAAGAGTAGCACATCTTAAGGAGTTGATGGTAGTCGTAGTATCGTCAGCATCTTGCAGTGTCTCAAATACACCAGGTCCCCTAAGGTGGTTTTTGAATGACCAAATATACGTTCAAATGCAAATCAAAAGCCTCTGATCTGAGTGTGCATAGGTGTTGGTTGTGCCGCGTGCTGTGGTTATATGAAGCATGCCACTAGCCACCATCATGTTATACTTTCTTACGCTCTCAGACTTGTTTTGAGCTTTTCTTTGTGACATCTTATAAACAAAGTTAAAATAGTCCCATTTTAAAAGTGAAGAAATCCTAAATGCAATGTGAGGTCCTACAGAAAAAGGACATTAAAGACAAGGCATTCTGAATAAAATCTAGAGGAAGAGGAGCGTGCCAATGTTAATTTCTTAGTTGTGATAAATATCAATGATATATAAGATATCAACATTAGGGGAAGGGTATAGAGAATTCTCTGCAATGTCTACAGATTTTCTGTGAATCGGCAACTATTCCAAACTAAAGGTTTTATTTTTAAAAATGAGTAGAAATTAGTCACATGGCCACAAGGGTAATGCAGTTTAGCTATGGCCTTCTCATCTTAATCCAATGCTCTTGTTATACCCCTTTGCTGTTCCTCCGAGACCCAACACGTATTCCACACTGCACTGGGAAATCAAGGATATGTTTAAATGTGGGTTGTTCCTGAAAAGCCATCAATTGCTCCTGTTGACTCTCTGGCGACCCACAACATGGTGCCATACAGACACACTCTGATTTGCTTCCTCTTGAGAGGTCTTTTGCAAAGAAATACTGTGTTATATAACATAATATTTCTATATCAAAAAGACAGAAGAAAGGATAAGATAAAACACACAGAGACAGACAGAGAGATGAGAAAACCCTGAGTCTCAAGTATAGGACGGGATCATTCTTTGTAGTGGGGGCTGTCCTCTGTACTGTGGAATGTTTCTTACCAGTTCTGGCCTCTACTTGCTCAATGCCAGTAGCACCGACCCCAGTTGTGACACCTGAAACTGTCTCCAGGCATTGTTAGATGTTCTCTGGGTGGGGATGAGGGGACAAAGGGCAGAGATTGCCCCCAATTTGAGAACCACAGACCCAGACAAATATTTGGAATAAAATAAACAATTTCTAAGGGAAGAATAATTAATTTGCTTTTCTGCTACAGAAAACAATGTTCTTCACCATTTATAAAGCCTCTACTCTGTATCAGAGTATACCTATTTATTTCTCACAGGAACTCCTCCAGTATTATCTATCTAAAAAATGAGAAAACTGAAGTGCAGAGAGGTTAAGGGCCTCCTGGCTTTGAAGGCATAGAGTCAATTTTGAAGCCCACAGATAGCTGATGCAAATTCCACTACTCCACACTGGCTCTTTTACATGCTTTTTTGAGGCTGTCAGCAATCAATGTCTGAGACAGAGAAAAGGGAAAGAAAGGGGAACAGAGTTGGGAGACAGGTGAGCAAATATGAGATGACAGCTCTGAGTTCACAGCACTTACTGTTTGTTTTCAACTTCCCAGGCTCGCTGCTGCGGCTGCCAGCCTGGTTGATGGCCTTGACCATGAAGATGTATTTGGTGCCACTTTGCAGACCATGCACTGTGTAGTGGTTCTGCTTGATGTTGGGTACAATCATCCAGCTATCGGCCGAGTTGCACAGACCTGCAAAGCCAATCAGACAGGTGCAAGAATGGGCAATGTTTGCAGAATCTTCTGTTATTTGAACTGTAAAGATTAATAAATGCAGTGCTTTGTCACTTTTTACAAGAAGCAACCAATAAATAAGTGCTCAGGGTCCTGTTCATAGTGGGAAGTCAATCTGAATTGTACATTCCTACTGTATACTTTAGGTGGACAAGTCTTAAAATTCCTGCATTGCAAATTTTGGGGTATGTGAGTGAATTGGAGCAGCAAAGGGGGTTCTGTCTGGATCTTAAGCACTGAACACGTGCATGATGTGTTTAGGTGCTGTGAGGATGAAACAAAAGCAGTCACTGATTCCTTCCACTCCATCCTTACTCCTGCCTGCATTACTCCAGTCATCAAATTTTAGATGTCATCAATTCTGAGAGTTACAGAGGGTGAGGAGATCTGAGTCATGGACTAGAAGCTGACTTCACTAACACAAATGTAGCATATTGTATTTTTGCCTCCAATTCTTCACCTTGCCCTGTATCGAGGCCTAAGTGACTTTGTAGCTACTCCCTCTAGATAGGTAAGGTATATTTCCTTGTCACATAGTTTGGATTTGTCACATGGCTTTCTTTGGCCAATAGGATGAGGTAAAAAAAATGACAATATGCTAGTTGCAACAGTAGACATTACAAAGCCTTGAGGGTTTCTGTTGATGCCTTGTCTCTCTGTCATTGCTATGGGAACAACATTTTAGGGGCAGCCTGCTCATCCCAACAGGTGAGACGCAGGGAACAGTCTTACTGCCAGGCTAATGCAAGAGCAAACCCAACAGGGACTGGCCAACCCTATCCATCCTCAAATGGGGGAGCTACAAAAATGACCACAAGGGAATCTGTGACCCTGTACTAGTGTGGGTTCAGGAGATACATTCCTAAGGGAAACCTGGAGCAGCAGTACCCACAGGAAGCTCAGAGCCCAGTGAGGATCTTGGGAAAGTATCCACAGGGATTTCTGACCAGCTCCATCCCTTGGGTGGCAGGTTCTAGCTCCTCTGGCTGCATTCTGCAGGCTGTGGGCTGAGGAAAAGGCCCAGGATTTATGATGCTTGGAAGAGTATATAGGAAAAAGGAAGCCTGTCTTGTTTTGCAGCTGGCTGATGCTAGAAACATCTTTTTGGTAACAGGCCCAACTCTGCTCTCTCCACCCATCAATCTCCGCTCCAATAGAACCTTTCTCCAGCCCCCTGGTGACTGGGCTGTCATGAAGTTTCCTTTCTCTGTTGAATTTCCTTCACTAGTCCCAGGGAGAGGGCTGGACCCCATTACTTCCTGAGGGGCTCCAAACTTACCTCCCTTCTCCTTCCCTTTTGGTTCATTTGCAAGTCAAAGGCTCAGTTCCTTTGATCTGGAGGCAATTTATACCTTACCAGACTCTCAAGAAGCACTTCCTTAATCTTTCTTTTTTTTTTCTGAAAAGCTAATAAAACCTTTTTGTGCAAAGAAATTCACAAATGTGTCCATACACAGAGCCACAAATATTGCAAGATAGTCACGGGCTCCTCCGACTTTTGAGCTAATAATTATTCCTGGTATTCACCCAAATGAGAAGAACATTTTGTATTTTGTCAGTTATGAAAATTTACCTCATCTGATTTGCGTCTTGAGTGCCCAGTATGTTCAGGTACAATCCGGTGAGTCTTCACACACACACACACACACACACACACACACACACACACACACACACACACACACTTGAATTTTCTATCACCTATCTGGCTTGGGAAACATTGGCAAATGGTGACAAGGGGATCACCACACTATACATCCCTTTGATTCTTTCTCACTTCACCTTTTCCTTGAATAGAGCTGTAATAAACTCTGCTCTTCTGGAGGCTGCCACGCAAGTAACAGGTTTTGATCCAACCAAAGAAGGGTCATTTTGAACTCTGAGCTCTGGGCCTCCAGAGGACTATAACACACTTTAAGTATTCAATAATACCATCACAAAAATGAGCTCTCCTATTGCCTTGGACAATCTACTCATAGTCCTAGACTTTTGTCAACAGCAGTTAGGCATGAATGAAAACAGTAATAGCATTCAGTAGACTCAAATGAGAATCCCATCAATTTCACTGCTTTTACACTGTTCCTGTTAATTGAATATGTTACAATAAAATGACTATTGTGGTCAAAGAAAGCAAATGTAAAAATGTTTCAATAAACTTTAAATCACTGTACAACCCCAAAGCTGGGTTTAACGTGGTGGAGGAATGCTTTTAGCAACATTATAAAGCACATGTCTGAAATTGCTGCAAACTGCAACTTGGCCTACAACCCAGAATCTTAACTCGACCAAGATTTAATGTTTCAGAAACCTTTTCCAAACAGAAAGGGGACTCTGACTATCCTGATTATTTTGAAGAGGTCACTAATTTTTTTCCTTGAATATTAAAAGAAGAAAATGTTTATGGAGTAGTAAAATTTTATTGGATAGTTTTACACTGGGGGCAATCTACCTTTAAGAATACTAACAATTACTGCTATTTGGGCTTACCTTTATATTATTACTATTGCCAGGATAATAATTGAAAAGTTGATGAAAAACGCCAAGAAAACAACATTGACACTTTTCTGTGGGGAGACTAGAATTAAACGGGCGACTTGGAGTGTATTATTGCGTTGCTAGTATTGGTCTTAAGCCAGAACCACCTAACTTCTTGCACATGGCACACAGAGCCAGGATTGCTCAAGTTTGACTTCTCTGCCTTGACACCCCACTGTGGTAGGACTGGCGACCAGGTTTTATTCTTCTATTTATGAAACACCCATACAACCATCCTAAAGCTTTCCTTTGCTCCAAACTTGTTGAGGGCGTTTCAATGTCCTCAGCAACTCAAACTCAGCTTGAAGCATTAAAACAACATTGGAACTTGAAAGATAATTAGTCCATAATGAAGCCTAATTGAGTTTTTGATTTTGTACATTCTTTTTCATTCACAATGGGTCAGAAGCATTTCCCTACATAATGTGGCCATTATAAGATCTTAATTACATTTGGGATTTCAGAGCCTTGTATGTATGACAACTGTCATCTTGCTGCAAAACATATGGACACCCTTCAGAGAGGCTGTACACCAGGTTCTAACATCCTTTGTCTCTTTTAACAGATTGGACACAAGTGAACATCTTTTTCCTTCTCTATAAAAATTGTATCTATTTAATGACTTTTGTGAATGTTTTCAAAATGACTAAAACAAATACATATAGCTTACTGGTGGATTGAAGGAATGTGGCTTTTGCTTTTTGCTAATAATAAAAACAGCCTGCTGGGAAAAGGCTCCAGTTTAAAATTTTTAAATAAAGTATTAAAAGTAGCTTTGGAAAAAAATGGAAAACATTGTAAAATTAAATACATATCTAGGTGTTAATAAGCGACTCATTAACATCTGTAGTCATAATTCTATCAATAAAAATAAGAAATACAAAAGCAATGTCACTAAGTTTGTATTGGATGTGTATATTAGTGAGAGTCTTTACATGATTAAAAAAATCATAGATATTATCTAATTCTCCTTTGCTAATGTTGAAGGCAATGAACTCCAATTTATTATGACAAGTGAAGGACCCACTAGAGTCAATAAAAGATTTCCTGGTTGCCTAAGGAGCCCCAGAAAAGTTTTGACCATATCTCCTCATTTGCAATGGAGTTTTACTGTTAGATCTTATCTTTCAATACAACATCATCTTCCAAATGAAAGGATGGATGGACAAACAGTATTCAATGTAAAAGTCTTTCACGTGGAGATTATGTGATAAGCTATCACATAGACAATTAATTCTGCCAAGTTGCACAAGTGACCTTTATCATATGACATGAAGTATCAGTCTTCCTTTTAAAATTCAGCAATGTGAGTACAGACTGTATTTTTGTAGGAATCATAACTGTGCATATCTACGTGCTACCACTGTGGCAAACACAGGGCTAAGGCCTTTATTTTTATTATCACAACCATGTGAAGTTAAAACATTATCTCTCTCCCTGATGAGGAAACAGATTCAGAGGATATTAATTTGCCAAGGATTAGAGAGCTAGTGAGGTTCAAAGTTGGGATTCGATTCTAGGTGTCTCTCAGTCACTACAAATGAATATAACATTTAAGAAGAAAATAATTTGAAAATGCTTTCATCTTAGTTAGCTTTTTATCTGAGCTTCATCTTTCAATACTGCAAATTGATCCTGTAGGCACCAAGACTTCACTGGCCTGGTTTAATAGGTATAACGGGACAACCAACCTTATGAATGTCCCAGTTTGATCACCACCACCAGCCTCACTGCCCTCCAGCCATCTTTGGGGAATGGACCTTTTTGTCATCTATGCTTTAAATAAGGGAGGTCCATAGTCTTCACTAAGCCATTTGCATTTATTTTCTTGTAGAAACTGGTTTGTGGGAGCAAAATACCTTCTCTGCAACCACCCAACTTAAAGGTCTGAGTTCATTAAGCTCAGTAGTTCTGTTCTTATTGTGTTTCTTTAGACATGGTCTTTGTGAGTGATCTATTCTGTATATGGATTGTGATTTGGTACTATTTACCACACCAATAGCATGGAAACCAAGTCAGTCATAGCCTAACCAACTGACAAAGCCTAAATTTTGAACAATAAATGACTTCATTCTAGGGATGAAGTGAAACTCTGGTATGGAATTAGGGTTCTAAAGTGGATTGCCTTTTGACCCTAATTCCTTACTCTTCATTGCATTCACACCCTAAGGCCTGTAATTTTGCAGGTCCTCTCAGACTCACTCTGGCCTCACCCATGCAATTTGCTTTGGAGAATGGCATGTCAGCTATTGGACAGACGTATGCAATTGGGCCTGCCCTTTACACCTTCACTTTGCAATCATTAGAACAGGTGGAGCTGGGTGTCAGGAGGATGAGAGATACGGAGCAGTGGTGCTATGGAATTGCCCGAATTATCAACCCATGTGCAAGAAAGCCAAGGCAGGTCAGACCTCTTAGATGGTCCCCAGCTTCCAACAGATACATGGGCAATAAATGGTACTGGTATATTCTTCTTAGGTTCTGTGTTTGTTAGCTATTCAGTAAAAGCCAAGTAATACTAGTCCAGGCTGAGGCTATATGTACTCTCCAAATGTCCATGAGAATCTGATTAAAGAAATTTCAGGAGAGACAGAGCCATCTGTGGTGGGACATGCTATAGAGTGGACGGACCCCCAGGGTTCCCGCTCTCTAGTATTCATGACTTGGTATAACTCTCTCCCCTTGGGTGTAGGCAAGACCTATGACCTGCTTCTAACCAACAAAATATGGCAAAGGACAAAGGGCTAGCATCTTTATCAACTGCTTTGATTATATTACATTATATGGCAAAAGAGAGAGTGAAGTTCCTTTGCAGGTGTAATTAAGGTCCTTAATCAGTTGACTTTGAGTTATCAAAAGGGAGGTTATTTCAACTGGATCTGACACAATCAAGTGACTCTTTTACAGGCAGGTTTAGAGGTGAGATTTGAAGTATCAGCCTCTCTCTTTCCCTCCTCCACTTGCTGGTGTTGAACAAGTAGCTGCCATGAATTCTAAGCCAGAATGAAATGGATTCTGCTAACAAACTAAGGCAGCAAGGAATTAGAATTTTCCTTAGTTGAGTCTCTAAGATCCAGCTCAACTGTGCCTAGGATCCTGATCCATGGCAATGGAAATCATAAATAGAATTGTTTAAGCTGCTAAGTTTTGGGAAATTTATTTCACAGCAATAGAAGACTAATAATCACTTTCTCTAAATCAATATATCATTCCCCACATGGGTCAAGAACTATCCTTTTGGTAAAAAAATGACTCCAAATGTTTCCTTTTTCTTCTTATATCATTCACAGTCTACACGTTTTCACTATCTTTTGAATTTTCTCTTCTTTAAGTTTGATACAATCTGTGGCTTAGTTTACCTAGTCAGGAGTAATATTCATCACACAACGTTGAGGGAGTGATTCCTGAAGTGAAGACAAAATATAAACTGTACCTCCTTCTTTTGCTGTGCTTTCCCATCTACTATAATGGATAGCAGTGTGTGGGTCAGTGTACGGTGGTGTCTGTATCAGTTAAGTTAGAGTTCAGATTTATTATGTAATCCTGTAGACAGTAGATATGTTTACCTTGCCTTAAATCAGGTTTCTAGTGTTAAGTTTATGGCACATATGCCCCAAATCAGTGAAATAGAAGCTCACACTGCTGGTAAAATTCATTTTAAAAGTCATATGTCACCTTTTGGAAGGACAATGTAGCAACGTGAACCAAAATTAGAATGTAAATAACCTTTCCTTATCAACTACATCTCAAGAGATTATACTGCAGATACAACACCCCATACACGAAAGGAGAAATACTCGAGAATATTCTCTGAGCAATGTTACAAGAGCAAAAGATTGGAAACAAGCTAAATATTCATCACTAGAAGGTGGGATAAAATGAAGAACAAATCTTTACAATCGGATACTGTTCTAGCACCAGAAAAAATGAGGCCATTCTTTATTTTGCTGAAGTGGAATGCTCTCTCACAGCAGATACTCAGTGAAGAAGAAAACAACGTGAAGAACTGAGTATGGCATGTACGCACACAGAAAGATGGTGGAGAATCCGTGCTTCTTCATGCTATGCAGCAGGACACATACAACCGGAGAGGAAGAACAAGATCAGAATTTAAAAGCTTGGAAGGAGAGAGAAAGGATGCCACACGTTGTCATAGCAGTGCTTCTTACACTTGCCCCAAAGGGCCCAATGAGTGTCTGAGGTCAGTGATGGTGCTACCTGGTGAAATGTGTCAGAGGCAGAAAAGTCTTTCTGGAAGAATCATGTCCTTTTCATCTCTGCTGTGAGTGCCATTTGCAGGTCCTGGCTACTTCTACCTCAGTGAATTCCTGTGAGTATCCCCATTGGTGTCTCTGTTCCCCTCCACCTTACACAGTGCTCCTGAGTCAGCACACGACTTCCCTGCATGATACCCAAGCCCATATTCAAGCATGGTGTGGCCAGGGTGACCCTCTGTTGATCTAGCTCTTGCCTGTGGGTTGGGGTATTAGGTGACTAATGATGAAGAACATGGATTTTCTTTTTCTTTTTCTTCTTTTCCTGTGGCACTGGGGCTTGAATTCAGGGCCTTCTTCTTGAGCCAGTCCACCAACATTATTTTTGTGAAGGTTCTTTCGAGATAGGGTCTCCAGAACCATCTGCCTGGGCTGGCTTTGAACCATGATCCTTCTGATCTCTGCCTCCTGAGTAGCTAGGATTACAGGTGCCCAGTGAGAACATGCATTTTCTGAAGCTGGACTGATATGGAGTTGAGCTCTGATTCTAGTTCTCACTCTGCTTTCACTATCTCCCCTTCCTCACTGAGCTACCCAGCCAGACTTAATCAGGGAAGATCTCCCAGGATGCCCTGCTACTTTATTATGTCCTTGAATGTTTGCTTTTGATGACACATATATCTATGACCCACCCCCGCCCTTAACTTGCAGCTATGTGGCCACTCCCTTTCAAAACTTAGTTTAACTATAACTTCCCTGAAGACCTTCTTGTCCTATCTGCCATTTCTGCCCCCCACCTCTATGCCCTACCTACCTGGCAGCTTGCCAAAGTTGCTTTTGTGATAACATTTCATGACTGTTCTCCTTCCACTCAGAAATTACACATTCTTGGAAAATGGTAAGATTTTAATTAAAGCTTCCAAGGCAAACCAATTAGGGAGAGGAAGGTGAGAAGGTTGGGAAGATGAAGCTGGGGAAAGTGGCTACAGGGGAGAAAGGGAGTGGGTCATTTACACTTTAGTCACTTAGAAGTTGGTGTCATTCTGTGTCACCCTTTTAATTAATCTTAAACCAATTTTCTGTTTTAGGCATCACATGCCTCACAACTACTTGTGCTAGCAAGGAACAGGGTAGTTACAAGAGAAAAGATTTCTATAATAAAAGCACAATAAGTTGATACGAACTTATTCAAAACATCTTTGTTGAAAAGTGACTGCTATTCTACTCTCTTCTACTTTGACATACTCTATTTTTCTTTGCTAAAGAAATTCAAACTTGCTCCCCCAAAAACCATTTCTTCTGGTCCTTTACTATTGGCTCAATTCAATTGCAATAACTCAGCGGGGGAGGGAGGAGTGCTTCCTCTATTATCCACAATGCTAAATGTGAAACAGGCCTCAGTGAGAGAGGGGCCCTTCTGCATTTCAGGTAAGCCTGGAAATTCTCCCAGGTGGGGCTTGTTACTAACATTTGAAGTAATGGCCCCAGATTACCTCTGAGTGGGACCATGTAATTAGCATTCTTTGGCTATTCATCTTATTAAATTTTTCTGTTTTGAAAATTGTGAAATAACACTCAGAAAAGTAAACTGAATGTATGATATAATGACTAAAGGATGCAACTACCACCCAGAAATTGTTGTTAATTCCAAGAACCCCTGTATATTTCCTTCCAGTGACACCATTTCCCCCCTATTCAAGAGGTAACCACCATCCTGATTAGTAATTATACCTCTAAGACCAAAACAGTGTATTTTGATCTTTACGTTATGAATTGATAAATGGATCACACTGCATATATTCTTTTGTTCCTTGCTTCTTTCCTTTAACAATACATTTGTGAAGTTCATACATGTGGTTTCTAGCGGTCATTAATTTTCATCAATATTTGACCAGCTACTTTTTACTAGTGCAATACAAGTGAGTGCTATCACTTTCTTGGTCAGAAAAGATAAGCCAATAAATACTGTGTATTTTCTCCTCTTCCTTTGATGTTTCAATTCAAACACGTGCACTGGTCTGTGCACTTGCTGTGAGTTCAATCCCTACTACTGTCAAAAAAAAAAAAAATCTTAGAGCCAGGTGCCAGTGGCTCATGCCTGTAATCCTAGCTACTCATGAGGTAGAGATCAGGAGGATCACGGTTTGAAGCCAGCCCGGGCAAATAGTTTGCAACACCCTATCTGGAAAAACCCTTCACAAAAAAGGGCTGGTGGAGTGGCTCAGGGTGTAGGACCTGAATTTAAGCCCCAGTACTGCAAAACAACAACAATAAAAAAAACTTAGGGATAGTGATGTGTGTGTAAGTGCTAGAGTGCTTACCTAGGAAGTACAAGATCCTGAGTTCAAGCCCCAAAACCACCAAAAAAAAATAATGATAAATTCAAACATACAACTTACCTGAAAACAGCCACCAAATCAAGAAGTAATGAGATACTTACTAACGACATTGGCTTGTCCAGTGAATATGGTGTATTGGAGCTCGTAGGAAACCACACTAAATTCATCATCAGATGTCCAGTGGACGGTGATAGTGTCATATGAAGCTGTGCAGAGCTCTTCTCTAATTGTGGGAGGGTTGGGTGCTGTGGACATCAAGAATGTTCATCAGTGAAACAGCACACACTACTGGGGTACCACTTTGGAGAAGATGTCTGACCATTAAAGCAAACTTTTCAAATAGCTCCATCAAGACTACTATTCTAGAGTTGGTGTCCTCACTCCAACCAACATTTAGTTGGCTGGTTATTGCTTTTGTTTTTCACAAGGCGTATGGCCAGAGCCAGCCAGTATGGCCTTATCTCGGTTTATCAGGAGAATATGTTTAGGAGCTGAAGCAAACAGTAATTTCTTGGGCATGAAGGAAAACATGTTTAACAAGAGTAAACAAGATGAACTTTTGTAGTTTCACATCAGAGGGTTGGCAAACTTTTCCAGTAAAGAACTGGATGGTAAATGCTTTGGGCTTTGCGGGCCAGACAGTTGCTATTGCAACTACTCAACTCTGCCATTGTGGTGTAAGAGCAGCTGCAGACAATTTGTACACAGATGGGTATGGCCAGATTCCAATAAAACTTTATTTACACAAACAAGCAGAGTGTGGGATTTGGCCTGTGATCTCAAGTTTGCCAGCCCCTGATCTATAGGGTACCAGATATTTTTACATTTAGGTGCTTAATAGGGAAAATACTGATATTTGTTATCCCAGAGCAAATCAGCTAAATAATTGAAAGTTTTTTCATTAGATGTTTTGATGCCTCGTTGAAACAACTTGTTAGTGTAGCTATATTTTCTTCTGATTTCTTAATTTATAGGAGATATTTTATATTAAGGAGATCATGATTAACAATCATATCTAAGAAATACATTTTTGTTCTCTAAGGAAACCATGACTCCTTGGCATTTGGTTAACTTTATCACTATAGAAGGCTGCTGTTTTATTTCTTTGGCATATTCTGAGCAGAGAAGTCTAAATCTGACCAAAACAATGATTTTTAAATGACTACCACTGGATGGATAGCAGTAACTGGTTTTATGAGAAGAGTATTAGAGCAAGAAAAAGAAAATGAGTTTTGTGTTGGCAATAATTTTTAGAGAAGTGGTTGGCAAACTATGGCTGTGGGCTCAAGTTTGGCCAACGGCCTGTTTTTGTAAATAAAGTTTTATTGGAACACAGCCAAGCTCATTCAGTTACATATTGTCTGTACAATAGCACAGCAATAGCAAAGTTGAGTTCTTGCGACCATATGGGCTGCAAAGCCCTAACACATCTGCCACCTGGCCCTTTTCAGTCAAAGTTTGCCAACCTCTGGCTTAGAGAATTTATCCAGGGCCTTTCTTTCGACTTTTCTGTATACCAGAACTGAACTTCAAAAGAAGAAATATGTTTGCATCATTCAGTTGCCTTCTACTTACACTATTGCAGAATTCTTTCCTGCTCTAAATTCTGATGTGAACAGTAAATTTACAATTAGGTTATAGAGATCTTTACTTTACCACCTGAAAATGCATCCAGGACAAGTGTCATGCCCCTTAGCTTTGCTTATAGGTTACTGAAATCCATGACCATTGTGGGGCACATACAATGTGGCAGGCACTACATTAAGTCCGGCATTAAGAAGGAAAGGCTTGGGCTGGGGATGGAGCACTGGCCTAGCATATGTGAGGCCCTGGGCTCCAACCCCAGCACTGCAAAAAAGAAAGGAAAGAAGGAATTAAGGAAGGAAAAACAAAGAAAGAAAGAGAAAGGAAAGAAGAAAGAAAGAAAGAAAGAAAGAAAGAAAGAAAGAAAGAAAGAAAGAAAGAAAGAAAGAAAGAAAGAAAGAGAGAAAGAAAGAAAGAAAGAGAGAAATAAAGAAAGGAAGGAAGGAAGAAAGAAAGAAAAAGAAAAGAAAGAAAGAAAAAGAAAGAAAGAAAGAAAAAGAAAAAGAAAGAAAGAAAAGCATTCTTTCTGGAATATTTATTTCTACATCTGTCTCCTGAAGTATCCACACGTGAAATTTAATAACATGTGGTGTGACCTGCCTATGCATGAATCAGAGACACCAATCAGAAGATGCATTCCATGGAGGTCCAGCTGTGTCATCAAATATGCTTACTGTTGTCTGTGTGGTCGCTGTTGATGTGGGATCACCCCTGCACGGATCAGTGAAGAAATACTTAATTCTTTCAGAATCTAAATAGTTCACTGCATTATTTCTCCATCAACCACTGCAGAAAGATTTTGTTCTTTCTTCATTGCAATATATGATTAAATATGAAGAAAATGTTAAGCACAAAACAGGCAAGTAGCTGTGAGGCACATGGCAGTAGCTGCAATCAGGAAGGAAATGTCACCTCTATGGGTTATTAACTTGACATACCACTTAGAGGCATGTCATAGGGAAAAAAAAAAATCTTGTTTGCACAGCCAGGCAGGCTAACCCTGTTTTGATTGTAAACCCAATGGGTTTGTCCTGAAAAGTCAATATCTAATTTACTGTAAATGAGAACTGCCGCACGCTGCCAATTTCAATACTCCTAGAATCGGTACCAGAACTGTTATTTTCTTGCCTTCATCAGAAACACCACACAAGGAATGGTAGGCTAATACTCCACAAACACTTCGCTTCCTGCTTATAAATGTCTGATAAACTATTTGGACTTGACAGTGTCAGCCAAGCATCATATGTTATGGCCAGGATTGATGTTATGTCTAGAAATGGATGGAATTTGTATTGGGGGTTGACAGCTCAGAAGGCATAATAGCTGGTACCACATACGGTCTTCAGTTTGGCGTGAACAGCCTTCTGGATGATATGGCATCCGTGTTACAATTCAGTGCAGACTGCTTTCACAAGTTTCCTTTTAATCCATACTTTCACATTCCTATAGAAATTAAGATGGACATCCATTTTTAAATACTATTGAATAATTATTGCAAAATGAGGACCCTTGTTTAAGAGACACTGATTTGGGGGCAGCATGCCCACGTGTCCAGGCAAATATTTAATTTTACAGTCTTTCCTAAACTTGTGTCATGGATCTGGTCCAGGAGACATACATGGAAGGAAGTTTGCTAGGTGGGTCTTTTAAGCAACACTTTTGGTTTTCTGATCAACAAAGACAAACTAGGCTGGCAGAGTGTTTGATTCATTAGTCCCCCTCTGCCTCTTTTCTTTTTGCCTAGAATTGCAGCATAATGCTAGGATGTAGAGTCGTCATGTTGTGTGATCTTGTGGTAAAAAGACAACATAATGAAAATGGCAGAACAGGAAAGAGAAAGATCCCACTGTATGAAGTCATCATGGAACCACTGCCCAGCCCTGGACAGCACGCCTCTGTTTTGTTTCTGCAATATAAACATGGGTTTAGTCACTGCCGGTTGGATTTTTTTTTTGCTTACAACCAAACTCATTCCAAATGATATAAGAAAAAAAAAAGGGAGGGGATTTTTAATTGAATTCCATGATGAAAAACAGCTATCCAGCAAAAAGCTATACCTGCACTGTGCAGACAGTAGTTATGAGGTACACATGGCTGCTTAAATTTTAATTAAATTTAAATACAGGTAAATAAAAGTAAAAACTCACCAGCCACATTTCAAATTTTTCAATAGCCTCATGTTCCTAGTGGTTAATATATTGCATAATGCATAGTTAACATATTGGAGAATGTAGATACAGAATACTTCTATCATTGTAGAACATTCTCTCGGATGGTGTTAGTTTAAGTAAAATGTCAGAATTAAAAGCTGAAGATGGAGGGCACTATATTCATAAATATTTGAAACCAAGTTTGGTTCCTTACTGCAAATGGTTTTTGAATTGATTTCTTTCTTCCTTAATAGGCGAGGTCTGTTTGAAAGAGAGAATTACATAAGGTGAGAAGGTTGTGGAATGACTCCCCTTCCTTGCAAATGCCAAAAGGTTAAAAACAGTAGCTCGGGTCCTCACAAAGGAAAAAACTCTGATCTTCTGGGTACAATGCTCCTTGAATGTAGAACTCTTGGCTTTCTATCCACAGACTGCAAAACAAATAATGCTATACAATGTTCTGTCTTCCCTGCTCCACTTCCCCTAACCACTCCCCCAAAAACAGGCACACATAGGACTGAAGTTGAGAAACCAACACCACGCCTGTGGTTGTGGTTTCTGGAAGGCTCTATGTCCTAGGTGAAGTGCACATCTGGCTTCACTGTGTGTACCGTTCTTTCCTGAAGTCACAAGTCCGAGTGGCTTTGGCTAACACAAGGATGGTTGTCTAAACAGCCCACGTTCTTTCTGCTGGACACTGTTCTCTGTTCCTGCTTTAGAGGCTGACAGCAAAGAAAGGTTTAGCTGCACACTAGGAACAGGACTAGCTGGAGGTTTTTCTTTTTCCTTGTCGTTTTCTAAGCTTTACAAAAAAACCCCAAAAAACAAAAAACAAAAACCAACCAAAAAGTACAGAATTGAAACATGGCACCAGGAATTCCAATGTGATTTTTGTGATGTTAGAGTGATACTTGCCAAGATGAAATTCAGCCTTTTACTAGAAAAAGCAAAGGTCTTGCAGTCTGTACAGACCCGAGCCAGATCTTAATTCTGCCACCCCTTTGCTCCCTGACCCTCCACCAACATGGCTGACCTGTCATTTCCAAAGTAAGAATTGCCAAGCTTTAACTCGATTCAGTATTGTGACGATTAAAAGAAGGTCACAAATGAAAAGAGCTGGAGCAGGGTGGACACCCAGTCAGTGAGTTGTCAATTTTTCTCTGCTAATGGACTGCAAATTTCTGATGCCTTCCTAACACGAAATGAAAAATCCCTTCGTGGACAGCAGAGTTCTTAGTTTTGAGAATGAGGAAAAATTAAATTTGCTTTTAATGACCAAGATTCTCTTTTTTTCTCCTCCTGCCCCAATTTAGTCTTGGGCTGTATTATTTTGGTTTACAAAAACACAAAAGAGCACACAGAAATGATTTATGGAATATTAGGAAGTATTCCTAAATCAAAAGCATCCACTTCTGGTTTTCAGGGAACAATTGATCTGGTGGCAAAGTGTTTGTGTCACTGGAAATACACAATGCTGAAGAGAACATAAAAGACCATACCTGTGAGGTAATCCAGACACTCTAACAATTTCTTCTCTCGAGAAAAATCTAAGGCAAAGGTGTCAAATGTGTCATTAAGGTTGATTTCAGGAATTAGGACCTGAGAAGATGCAGTTGCCATGGAGACCCTGTAATTTAAACAAAACAACTTTTTAGAAATGTCAAGATGGCTTTCACTATCACTGGATAGGAATGAATAAAATGAAAGGAAATGAAATACCAGTTTTTAAAAAGTGCTGTTTTTCCACGTAAGTCTTAAGAAGAATCTCCGGATGGTACAACACAGTAACACAAAGCAAATGAATGCAAGCTTATAGAAAAAGCAAAGGAATTGGGAAAAACACCAGAGTGGCTGCCCCCCTTCCTTTTTACTATCGGAAAAGAATTCCCTGTGGAGGTGAAAGAATATTCATATTTCATGCTGCTGTGTATTTAACAGCCCGGCTCCGTCACATCTAACCCCAGCAAGAAGCACATAGCTTCAGGCATTTCTTCACACATCTGCCTGGGAAACTGTTCCTTTCAGACTCGCCCCTGCTCCACTTCAAAGGGGACTCTCCAAAATTTCAAACTGCATAAAAGGCAAAGTGAAGATTAAAAAAGAATGTTCCCAGATATTGGATTAGTTTAATCAATTACTAGCCTCTCTCTAAAATAAACATTAAAAAAGGAGTTTTTGTCTGGCTCGTTTTCATTCTCCGTGTATTCATTTTTTTTTTGTACCATATTCCCAGCAGATGCCATGGAAAATAGTCATGAGTGTTCTCAAAAATTCCCCCAGTGGATGCAGTTTCTCCTCCACTTAGGTTTCCTGGTTAGAGTTCTCATGTATGAACTATAAAGCAAGGTATTGTTATGTATCAGTAATCTCCTAGGTGAACAGTTATTAATAGCGAAACACTTTGACTGATTCAAAAATGCAAGTGATTTTCTTAAGACCAAAAAAAATTGTGCTACTTCTGAGCATAGCAAACAACGCTGGATTTGGGATCTTGTTGAGTTTGGTATTTTGTGACATCCAGTAAACATCAGGGCACAGGGGATTTTTATGCAAAGAAACAACTTTTGAAATAATTTAGCTCTAAATGTAGTTACATATTTTTCAAAAGGAGCATTACTGCTCATTTATACAAGGCCAGAGAGCTAGCTAGTAGTAGGCAGTAGAATTTTAGGTTTTCATTGTTCCATTTAATCTAGAATAACTTCAGCCCATGGGTTATATCTGCTCTTGAGTCTTTTAATGACTCCTAAAGCTTTGGATTTTATGAAGATAGTATATCATGCCTATAAAAACTACACCCATGGACCTATCTTTACAATGGAATACTATTCGGCCATAAAAAGGAACGAATTGCCAACACATGCCACAACATGGGTGGACCTTGAAAACATTGTACATAAAAAGCCGGACACAAAAGGCCACATATTGTATGGTCCATTTGTATGAAATGTCTAGAAAAGGCAGAGTCAGTAAACTGTATGCTTTAAAATGGTTAATTTTACTTCATGTGAATTTCACCTCAATACAAAAGAATGCAACTGTGAGCTGCCCAGCTACTCTTTCTGCAGTGATATTTACAACAGATTTCAGTGTTTTATAGGGAGGGGGCAGAGCTTAATCAACTGGCATAAATGGAGTGGTACTGGAATCACAGATGCAACTCTGAAGAGGCACAGATTTTGGAAATAAGTTTCAAGTTGGGAATGACTGCAGAGGTTTGCCTTCACTTCCTGACTGGTTCACCAAGAAGCAGGGAATAGTGGAGTTGTGTGAGTTTTGTGGACTAACTATTGCACCCAGGGGAATTGGGTTAATTATTATAGTAGTAACAGCTGCTAATTGAACCGAATGGGTACTGGGATGGTTGGTAGCCAAAGCATACTTTCAACAAATATTTCTGAAGCCCCTAGGAATGCCACATGCCAAAGAGCCCAAACTACTTGCATCAGTGGAGAAAAGCAAACGCACCATTTTGCACTCCTTCAAAAATACTTCAAAGTGAAAACTCCAATTAATTTTGTTCCATAATGTCCAGTAGGGAGGATCGCCCTGAGCTGTTAGGAAGTGAGGCCTGGACTTGTGATGGCGTTGATCTGCTGCTCACACAGCACAGGGAACACAGGTAATCTGGCAGTAGCATTTCCTCTGCCGAGTAGCAGAAGCCTCTTTGTTCAGGCTCTTTCAAGACAGATTTTGTTCCCAAGTTTCTCCTGGTTCTATGGTCAAAAAACCATTAAACAAAACGTGTTTTTGTCAAGTGATGGCAGGAACTTTGAGTGGGAAGCAAAAGAGCTTGAAGGCGGCCAGCCTGGGAGGCAAGGGCCCACAGCGAGCACCCTTGGGGAACTGCTGCTTTGAACACCTACACGGATGTTCTCCTTGATGGAAAGAAAGATACTTCTCTCTGGCTACAATTTCAGATTCTTAATTGGAATGACAGGCAGGGGAAATGTGCCAAATTCAACATTTTAGGCCACATTTTGATTTCTCAAATCCTTGCTACCCATCTCCTGGCCTTTTCTAGATAAACTCTGAACATCTGCCAGGGCTGTGAGTGCGAGGCCACTTTCTCACCTCCTTGCTTTCTCTCTCTCTGTCCCTATACACATGTGGGTGTGCGTACACAATTCTGTAAGGGTCTTCTGTCCTGCCTGGAAGCTTAGAGGGTGGGTTGCATGTTATTTCCTAGTTCTCTTTCTTCTTTGATACCTGTAATTTGTTAGTGGCCACACAGGGCCAGTTTTCCAGAAGGTGGGCACGTCTAGAGCTACACTGTTCGTGGGGCTTTTGTGCAACAATGCACATCACTATGGTAAACCATAGTGAGGTGTTGCAGGAGCAAAATGTGTTTTACTTTGGTCAGCTTGGGATTTCCCAAACATATTTGGCCCTGAAACCTTGGTGTTGTTATAACATCTTTTAACACCTTACAGACTACACTTCAAAGCCCACGCATGAGCTGTGCTCTAACTCTTAGAACTAAGCAGTGTCTTTCTGGAGTTGCCAGCTGGAGCTCTTGGCTTTGTATTCTGGAAAAGCCTGACAGATCCTCGAACTGCCTGTGGTGGTAACAAACACAGAGATCTTCTTGCAATTGGAGAACCTCCAAGGTGCTCAAAAAAGGATTCTGCTCAGAGGGAAGTTTCTTTTTACCACCCTCTTGGTACAGATAAGTTGCTCCTAAAAGCAATTTTAATTTTAGATTCTTTGTAAACAGTAGATCGACTTTCTTATGCCTAGATTTAGTAAATACTTCTGTTCGTTCAGTATGTTATAATGTCACCATATTCTCAAATCAAAGAGCTATGTGTTACTATTGTAGCTTGAGAAGATAGTGTGTTACACGCTATATTTGCTTCACTTAGTGAGTGGAAGGGGAGGCAATCAGTGTTTTATGGCATGTTCACCTCATGACAAAAGCTGGGCTAATGTTTTTACTGCATTATTTTATTTTATCCTTATGACAACTATATTAGGTAGGACAACTGGCCCTGCCTACAGATGAACACATTCATTCATGTCAGGAAGTCTGCAGTGTGTGAGGGCTATACTAGTGAAAGCAACAAGGCTAGGATTCCTACCTACTTGGAGCATATAAGCAAATTAGACTGAGAAGTGTTAATGAGCAGCCCCGGTGCCATCCATAATTACTATGCAATTAGCACAGAGCCAAATGGTTGATTCCAAAGCATATGCATCCTCTACAATGTGAACGGAGGCACTCTCTCTCTCTCTCTTTAATGTTTTTAAATTGAATATTTTTGTCAGTTTTGATTCAGTTTATAGGCGAACATATCAACTTTAACTGATTCAATGATACACAAAAATGTCATCTAAGTCTCACTTTAGGAATGCTTGCAGGATTTAAACTTTGTTCTGAGCCGGGTGCTGATGGCTCATGCCTGTAATCCTAGCTACTTGGGAGGCTAAGATCAGAAGAACGGTGGTTTGACAGACTGGGCAAATAATTCTAGAGACCCCCATCTCCAAAATAACCAGAACAAAATGGACCGGAAGTGTGGCTCAAGTGGTAGAGAGAGCCTGCTTTGCAAGGGCGAAGCCCTGAGTTCAAACTCCAATCCCACCAAAATAGTAATAATAAAGTTTGTTTTGGATTCCATACTTGAAGAGAAGAATAAAGATGATTCGGAGGTATATATAAACCAAAACCCAAGGCAGGCATACTAGGAGACAGAACTCGGAAGCCATGACCTAGAGAAGCGCAGTAAGTGACAGGTTGAAGAACAGAGGTAGGCAGAGTAGCACTGCAACTGACCTACAAGGAGGGGTTCAAGCATGAAAATATCCAACCAGTGAGCATGTACAGAGTGTCTGTGGAAGACCCATTCTGAGGAGTTTTCAATAATGGTACCATAATAGGGACCTGACATTTTCAAGTGGAAAATAGTTCAAAGAATCATATTTCAAAAGTGGCAGTGCTAGGATTTGAATTCAGGTCTCCCGCCTCCTTGTTCCAGCTCAATGCTCTTTTATTACATCCCAGCTAATAGAAGGAGAGAGGTTTCAGGAATTAACCAAGAAGACTGATAAATAAGAGCTGGGAAGACAGGGGATGGCACAGAAGGACAAGGGCTCCAGTGATTTTTACAGGCACTACACATTCAAACTCAACAGAAGCACATTCTTTGTAGAAAAAGAAATTAAAGGCACATGTCCATTGCTGATGAGATGGGCTTGTTCTGAAGACTGCTCTGAATGGGACCAAAGAGGCCCCACAGATCTGTGGGAGATCACATGTAGGTATTCATGCACTTGTGCTATACTTCGAAATCAAGTCTCTCTGCAAGCGTTAGAGGGGCACTTTCTCTCCCTGATGCTAGGTGAGAATTTAATCAGGTGCCCCTCAGTTGAATTTCTTGGGATTGCAGAGAAATGCCCATCATGGTAGCCACTTCATCAGGTCCTACCTGAGTTCATGGGGGGAAAAATGACTCTCAGATCTACTCGGGAACCCTGGACTTAGTGCAAATACTGGCTATTAGATGTCCAGAGCACAGTGGAAAATTTGTGATGTTCAAAGTTTTTAACATTAGGATGAATAATGAGCAACTGGACATGGTCCAGATGAAAGCAGTGCAAATGATTAAATACTTGGAACCGAGGAGTCATGAGGAAAGAAAGTGGCCTTTCAGTAGGGAGGAGAGAGCATTTCAAAGACATAAAGGGAATGATAGGCAGCTGCTATTCATGCTCTTTAGAAGAGATAAGTATCTAATTAGCAACAACAAGAATTTTTCTTAAATATAAGAATAGCACAGTGAAACTGGATGGCCAATATTAGACCAGAGTTATAAATATAGAATACCACTCTTTTATTTATTTATTTTGTGGTATTAGAGTTTGAACTCGGGGTCTATACCTTGAAACACTCTGCCAGCCCTGTATGTGTGTGTGTGTGTGTGTGTGTGTGTGTGTGTGTGTGTGTATGAGAGAGAGAGAGAGAGAGAGAGAGAGAGAGAGAGAGAGAGAGAGAGAG